CGCTCTCTCCACCTGCCCCCTGACTTCGAGACGCCCAAGGTGGTCGTTTATTCCGCCCGGCGCGCTCCGGGCCGCGCCGCCGGGCGCTGGGCAGGGGGCTCAGACGGTGAGGGAGATGAAGCTGTTGTAGCGCTGGATGTTCCGCTTGAGGATCTCGGAGCAGGGCCCCAGCACGCGCTCGAAGCGGGGCCGGTCCAGCTTCACGCACTTGAGGGGGCCGCGGGCCACCACGGTGGCCGCCCGGGGCCGGTTCAGCAGCAGCGCGATCTCCCCTGCGCGGAGAGAGAGCGTCAGGTGGGCCGGCCGGGGCGGCGGGAGGCGGGGAGAGGTGAGCTTCAGACAGACAGAAGGCTTTCTCGGCATCCGTCCCACGGGCTGTGCAGGGCAGACTTTGATGGGCACAGGACCCACGGCCTATCTGAAGCTCACGTCTAGCGGGACTGGGGCTCGTCCTCTGCCAGGCAGCCTACGTACAGCAGGTGCTTCGGAGCGCCCGGCCTCCCTCCGCCCCCCGCCCCGTGCAGGTGTGCCCAGGTGTGTCCCGGCTTCCCTCGGGACCCAGTCCCGCCGTAGGTGTGCCCGGGCCTCCCTCAAGCCCACCCCCAGGCTTGGGAGTGCCAAAGTCTCCCACAGACCCACCCTATGGGCTGCAGAAGTGGCCAGGTGTGCCCAGGCCCTTCTCGGGGCCCATCCGCACCAGGGGTCCACCCAGGCCTCCCTCAAACCCATGCCCCCAACCTCGGGAATGCCCAGGTATGCCTAAGCCTCCCACAGACCCACGCCCTAAGCTGCAGGAAGGCCCGGGTAAATCCAGGCCTGTCTCAGGACTCGGCACCCCCAGCTACAGGAACACCCAAGCGTGTGCAGGTCTGCCAGGCCTCCCTCAAGCCCCTCCCCTCCAGCTGCAGGAATGCTGACACTCGATGGCGTCTGTGTGTCCCCGACCCAGGGCCTGCGCACACAGCAGGAAGTCACCTCATCCAAGGTGGCACCCCCTCTGGGGGACCCCACCTCCAGGACTGGTCGCTCCCGGGACCCCAGACCCACCCCAGGACCTCCCCTGGAGGGGACAGGGCTGAGGCTTCTGTGGCAGCCGTGCCGGGGCTCAGCCCCTCCCCCCACAGGCCCATTCTGAGAGCTTGGGGAACGCCCCCTCCCCCCTCCTGCCCTTCCCAGGACCCCAAGGAGAGGCCGCAGCCACGCGGAGGGGGACCCGGCTCACCAAAATAGTCGGAGGGCCCCAGGCGCCCCACCTCCACGTACTCCTCGTTGGGGGACCGGCGCTGCAGGACGGACGCGGTGCCCTGTGGGTGGAGGTCGGGCAGGTGAGGGTCAGCCCGGCAGGTGCCAGCAGGGTGCAGGCAGGGCCTCCCTCGGGCGTCGCTGCCCTCGTCCCTGCCTCCCGCCCAGCTTCCCTCCATTTCCAAACACGACGCCACGTGTTTGCCCTCGCCATAGGCATCTGTGGCTGGGGGCCCTGAGCCCCTTCCCAGAGCCCACCGTGCACCTGGCTGAGCACCCACTCTCACTCACACACACAGACAGCTTCCCGACACAGAAACGCGGCTCCCAGTCCGTCTACACAGGTGGGCGGCCAAACTGGGGGGAGGCACGCTGGGGACGCCCCCCAGGGATCCGTGTCGTGTCTTTGTCTCAAGGCCACCAGGCTCCAGCCGACCTTGGATCAACTCTCAAGGGCTGGGAGCCACCCAGCATGCCAGGCGCTCCCCCGGGGCAGGAGGAGCG